CCCCCCCCCCCCCCCTTTCTTTCTCCTCATTTATTTCTTCTGTTTTTTAAATATCCTTTAAAATTAAGCAATTTTGATTGATTTGTTATCATACTATATATATTTTGCAAATGGCTTAGATATTTTTACATTGGATTTGATAATTTAATATAGATTCAATAATAAGAATTGAATATTTGGAAAACATTAATCGCATAAGAAATACGTTGTTAATAATGTAATTTGAACAAAAATACAGGTAAATAGTACCATTATATTTACTAAAATTGTGAATGCTTCTTAACAATTATTATATTATAATTGAATTTCTGTAAAACATAAAGTCTCGATTTTTGACAATAATAGATGTATTAACGAGATATTTTTAATGACTGTTTCTGATATTTCTAATGTGAAGATTGATTCTGATATTCTTCTTTTGTACTTGATATTACAAACAAATAGAATTTTTAGATATAACTAATACAGTTGATGACAGTATGCTATATCATTGTTTGTTTTGAAAATTTTCTACTAGAATTATAAAATTCGCTAAATGTTACTACAGTAACAGTTTATTCAATACAAGTATATTCATGTTCATAAATGTTAACAAACCAATACAACTTTTTAAAAACAACATATGATAATTATTACTATACTTAAATGATTCAACAAAAACTAAAGATTTAATTATTAATAAGAAGCAAAGGAAATGAATACTTCATTTTTGTATCAACATATGTATCATGTACAAAGTAAAAATACGTTTTTTTTTTTTACGTATTAACATGTTAATAATGTATTTATAGGAAAGAGAAATATTTTCTTTGTCCTCAGCAATTAATCGAAGTTGCAAAAAATGGATAAAAATCAGTAGATACAGAGAAAAAATTAAATTGGTATGCAAAGTGACAACGATATCAATCTGCATCTGTAAAGAATTTACTATTTAAAATTAATCTAAAACTTTTTCCAATCTACAAACAATTTTGTTTCTTTTTTATCACTTTCATATTAAGATTTGTATTGAGATTAGCTGAAATAATTATTAGTAATTTGTATGCTTATTGAGTGCTGTATGTACCAAAGGAAACATCTATCTTATATCTATTTCATGATTATTTACATGGTTCCATATTCACAACTGCAAGTGGTAAATGTTTTGATATGTATAAAAGAACCGTATTTTCATGCGAAAGAACAGAAACGAAAATAAAAAGAGATAATCGGAAATTAAAGAAATTAATTTCTTTTATTTATTCGAGGAATGAACGTTTTACATTATTTAACAAGGCAAAGCAAGTTAAATGTTTTCACAGTAATTTTGAACTTTTATTCGTGTAATTTTAGAATTCTTACAGCCAATTAAATCATCTATTAGAATTGTAACTGTATCGATTGGTATCAAATGGAAAAAAAGAAATGAAGGGGAAAATCTTAATCTTGTACACAATATGTTTAAATCAATAATTTATGAACATTGATTTATGAAAATCATATTTATTTTAATTGTACAAAGAAACAATCAAGTTTACGGAATATATAAAGTTACTGCTTGACGAAAAAATCGATTATTGTGTTACATCACATTTGACAAATAATTAATACCAAAGGGAGTCATTCTTACTATCATAAAAATAACGCCAACTTCCTGTCTACAATTATTAATTTTATTTTTTGTATACATACTTTTGCATGTTTATCTTTAATTTATAGATGCATGTGATACAATGATATGTTGTTATATTGCTCAGTAGATGCGATTTTAATGAAAATATTCAATAACTATTAAGAATTTTTTATTTTAAACTACAAACAATTAAGTAAGAGATAGCATGAAATATGTAAAAAAAAACATCGTTCGTCGTGTGTGTATCCGTTGCTCGATTATTAAAATAAATCTGAAAATACTTTTGAATGATATCCTGAATGTATATTGCAGCATAGAATAGTTGAAGTCAAATAATAATCTACTTTTATCATGCATACACACAACAATCAATATTTATTAAAATAATTCCTTTGATATGTTGGATATTGTAAGGATTTAACATAAATTGTTTAATATCTTATCTAAAATTTATCTGTGAGTAATTATTAATAGTAAAAAAGGAAGAAGTAAAAATAGTCCTTGTATCATAAGTAAATATTACAATTTAATATGAAATCTGTTATTATAATTGTTTATACATAAGCAATATCTATCTAACACAGATTATAATCTTTAAAAAGCATTATTATAGTAACAATATTTTTTTAAAGCACCAATGGAAACACGTATATGAAAGGTAAAAACAAATGTTATTTTATAAGTGCATAGAAGTCAACGTGTTAAATAAACATTTAACGAGCGACAAGTACCTCTTATTATGTATCGAAAAAAAATATTCTTATATTATGAAATACATATGTATATAATAATTTAGTTCTGTATTTTATCCGTACAGCTATCAAATAATACCCATTGGTTTCATATATACTAAATTAAATTCAGCTCAGCTAATAAATTGTAATATTGAAAACGCAAAATTTTGCATTATCGATTTATTTTATAAATCATATTTACTGCAATTTCACTACAATATATAGATCTGTTAATTTGCATATTATAGGAAAACAATTTTAAATTATAGTTGTACATTTTGTAACATCTTGTTTTGCTTTGTAATTATATTATGAAAGTTAAAAAAGAAAATTAATTTTATAAGGTAGTATAATATATTATAAACTTTGTATATATTTTTTGAATAATTATTCTAAATTAAAAATATGTTTAATGCTTCGATGTTTTAACTTATTTCTGAGATTTTAATTAATCGACCCTTGTTCATTCAAATCAAAGTATTTTTAACATCATGGGCAAATCACGAAATATTGTTAAGTAACAAACATTCAAATACAGAAAATTACATTTTTTTACTAAAAGAAGCAATGTATTAATTATAAGTTTAATTAAGTTGTATTTTATACATTATGTAATCATTAATTATTTGACAATTAAAGTGAACTTAAAAGATTTCTATAAATAATAAACAATCAAAATACAATTTTTTTTAATGTTACCAAATTACGAATTGCTCAGTAACACGATTAAACTGATATCAATACAAAACTCATATCAATCTGAAGCTCTTATGAAACAGTTTTTTGTAGAAGTTCATTGTGCTGATCGTTTATGTAATCAGACTGATATCTGTTATTCCTTCTAAGCTATTTCACTCGTATGTATATACGTACTTTCGTTCAGTCTCTTTTGAAACAGAACCAATTTACTACGAAAAAGTGAAAAAAGAGAGAACAAACAAGTTAAAATGAATCGTGTACAAAAATTGTTATCTAGTAAACAAACTCGAGATTATTTAATGAGGTATGTGATATGGAATTTGAGCATATAATGAGATATATAAATATATATATATATATATATATATACACACACACACATATGTATATATATGTATATATATATGTAAATTTGGTTATTTATTTTATTAATATGTTGAATTAAAAACAAATTCAATATTACTTTTTTATTTTAGCACACATTTTTGGGGACCTATAGCTAATTGGGGTATTCCTATTGCAGCTATTGCTGATATACGAAGAGATCCAAAGTACATCAGTGGCAAAATGACACTTGGTTAGTTTGTACATTAGATTTTTTGTAATATGTATTTAGCACATATTACAAATTTGCATTCGTATATAAAAACGAGTGAAGTTAAATTATATAAAATATTTTTATCTATTAAAATATAATTGTAACTTTCATGCATGAATATTTCGCATATTCGTTATTCTTTACGTAATTATAAATTCAATAGAATAATCGGAATTGTTCTATAATTTCAAATATATAACTACATTTAGATAAATGTAAGATTTTCTCATTTACATATTATTTAAAAATATAACTAATAATATAATAAAGTAACAGCATAACAAAAATTGAAATAATATATCATTCAAATGTATTAATAATTTTTCAGTTTCAATTTATAATCTATATGTATCCATATGAATATTTTTGAGCATTATTGAACATTTTAAAACTATAAAGATGTATTAAGATTCATAAGATATTATATTAATCTTTTTCAGCTTTGTGCTTGTATTCAGCAATGTTTATGCGTTTTGCACTGAGAGTTGAACCACGTAACTTACTTTTATTTGCGTGCCATTTTGTAAATGAAGGTGCACAGATTACTCAAGGATTTAGATTTATTAAATATCATTATGTAAATAAAAATGAATAATGAGTGATAATGATACAAGTGTTCATTTCATTTTATTTATTTTAAGTGACAAATAAATGACATTGTACACATACAAATTTAACATTTGTTTTGTACATGAAAATTAATTATCAAGCAATAAAAATAACACATTTCATTATAAGGACAATAAATTTAATAGTTGCAAATGTAAATTACATATTAATAGATAATATTAATTACAATATTAATTGACAGTTATAATAGAAATTACTTAGTTCTTTAAGTCATTTGGATATTTCTATAAAACAATTTATTCATTATCCAAAAACAAATTGAATACCTTTTAATTACTTAGTAGTAAAAATTCTCTAGTAAACATTTTTTTTTTAATAAATTAAATTTTACTTTTATTCTAATTTTTTAGATATTTTAGCTATATAATTACCTCAGTTTGTTTATTTTAATTTAATAAAAGAAGTGATTTAATTAATTTTAACTTAATAAAGCTTAATAATAATGTGTATTCATGAAGTTATTTATAACTAACAAGGTAAAATAATTTAACACACAACAAAATGATCTATTGTAATTATATTTACAATACATTATTGTAAAATAAAAAAAATACAAAACAAATAAAAATAACTAATAATACAAAAACATTGTATATGTATATAAACGATACTGCTTCAAATTAATTATTGTACAAAAATAATTTTTTTTAATTTCTTTGCATTTTTAAATGTTTGTTTCTAATAGAACTATTATATACATTTTTATTACATATGTTATCATCTGTAAATTAATGATAATAATAATAAAAAGAATAAAAGCTTAAAGTAACCTAAAATGGTGCTAAAAAGACGTAATAGAATGGTAGATATTATATAGTAGCGGACGAATAATATTTTTCAAAATACGATTCTTCAAATCGTATTTTAATGGACGGAATAATAATACATCACACTATCGCACTTATCAGAAATTATTTAGTACCTAGATAATAGTACAATATTACCGATGTCAGTAACAGTAATTGATTAACTTGAACTGACGAAGCAACAGCTAATCGACATTTGAACATATCATATCTACAAAACAAGTAATTGTGTTCAATTATTACTTATATTACGTTACTTATATTTTAAAGTTATAATTATACTAATTTGTAATGTAAATTACCTAGTCTTTTGATCATTAATTAAATTATTAAATTCGGCCTCTACCAATTGACCATCATAATATGTAATTTGGTCTTCATATGGATATTCAAAACCTTGTTTGCATTCGCACTTGTATCCGCCAGTTTCAAAACCTCTTCCGAGAATTGGCACGCACTATATATGTATTAATAAGTATACATATGTATATAAAGCAATACACATACGCGCACGCGCACGCGTATGTAAGAAGAATTATATGTATATAAAAAGAATTTAATCTCTTACATATGAAGTTTTCTCATCGCATTTGTGAGTACTCTTAAATGCATTTGGAGTGTAAAACACATCGCCGCATTGATTGATATCAAGCTGAAGTAGATCCATGGTAACAGCTACAATACCTCTGTAAGAATTTTTATATAAAATGTGATCTTCCTTTTTCGATCGCCTTTCTTTGAAACCAAACAGGTTTTCTATCATTATAGAGTACCTTACATATGATTTCTCATACATATACTATACATTATATAGTTGTCCATGTAGATAGAAATACTTACTTGAATTCCAGTTTCTCTTTCAAGTTGTCCAAACCAAAAAATGGGGATGCATAGGTAATTATCCATTTCTTTACTTTACCGTTGCAATCAAAGCTCGGAGTTGTCCAATGGCCGTGATTCAGGTTTGCTGCCCTATGCAAATGAATATATGTTCAGACACATTAAAATAAGCTTTATTTACGAGATCAATTTCCTTTGATTTTTAATATTAAAACTACATCTTTTTTATTAATTTTCCTTTTTCAGGTAATTACCTATAGGAATTAGGATAATGCTCATACTTTTTAAGATATTCGCCAGTTTCATTATACCTAATTCTTATTTTCATGTCATATTTTTCCAACTCATCAAAATTTGTTGTCCATCTTTGTTTTAATAATTGAAAATAATTCTTTTGTGTATAAACATTACCTATAATGTAAAAATATATCTTTACAATGATTCCAATATTTCGATAATAATAATAAATATTGTTCAACAATTTCAAAATTACCTTCATCATTGAGTCTGGCTAAATCTTCAACTTTAAATTTTCGAGTATTTAACTGAGTTTTATAAGCATATGGAGCAAAAAATGTTCTATTTGTAAATTTATTGCGATCCCATAGCATTTCAGCAGACCATATTTTAGTATCTCCAAGAACAAGAGCTAATGTCTCTCCAATCATTTGATCCTCGGTAAGTGACCTATCAGCTACTCTTTTACCTGAATAAACTTCATGAGGATCAGAAATTTGTAAAAATGCGCTAATAAAGTTTGCCAATCTAGTTGCCATTTTTGCTTCATTTTCAAAGAATTCTTTAGCACCAAAACTTATGTCTCCGTGTAATGTTAAATCTTCTTGTGTATAACTAATAATATAAATTACATAATTTCCATTATCTTAATTATAGAATTGAATACTGAAAATATAAAAGAATCAATATTTCTTAGCACACCTGTTGCAAGTTTTTGAATTGACACTTAAAATAAATTTGAGAGTTTGATCTATATTAATTTGTTCAGATCTTAATGTTTCTGGACCAATGGAATAATTTCTATAGTAATAGAACTGCTCAAGATATTTTTCTCTAATATGTGATTTTGTTTTTTCCCATTGTACTGGCATCTTATGAATCCCTGTAGCATAACAAATAAAAAGATATTGAAGAACAAAGAATAAAAAGATTTGTGATAAAATATACTGATACCAGTAGTAATAGTAATAATAACATTAATAATAATTATAATAAAAAGTATAATAAAAAGTAGGAGGATAAAATAGTATTATGCATACTTACAGCCTATTCGAGAACAATCAAATCCATTATAAAATTGTTCTTGAGTTGCTCTTTCTATGATTTCACCTAAATACGGACGTCGTACTACATTTGGTAACCTGAAACCTGGTTTACATCTACACTGATATCCACCTCTCCGAAAACCCCAACCATGTAATGGTTCACACTATATGAAAGTGTATAAATCAAGATAAAAAAGAACAGCTTCTCTTAAAACTATTAAAACATAATAATTGCTTTACACTTAATATTACATTTAATACCTCAGTACTTTCCATTTTACATCTAGCAGTATCAGCAAATTTATTTGGACCATTATTTCCTTTGCCTTTAGGGCACTGATTTATATCTATTCTTTCAAAATCCATCTCAATTACTGATATAGCAGTATAACTAGAAGTGTATGCAATTTAATATAGAAGCCAAACAAACAACCTTGAATTAAGTAATATATAAATATATACGTTGGATATTCAATATGTCTGAATCCTGTATGTCTTGGATAAATATCTGCAATAGGTACAACTGCTGCAACGAGCCATCGATTTGATCTTCCACAATCATAATATGGTCTAGTCCAAGATACCGGTCCAGGATATTCATCTGCACCTGGATAAAGTAGGAACGATAACAGATGAAGCTTTTTGAATGAAATTTTACTTTTTTTAATCGATTATTTTTATTACAATACCAGGTGGTCCATGGAATGTAAATGTTTCATTAGTGTTATTAGCATATCTGATTTCAACTTGATAAGTGGTTTTAGTGTCATGTCTTTTGTCAACATGATCTGGTAACCACTTCTTATACCTAGATTAAGGAAATTGATAATACCTAATAATTTATAAATAATCACAAAGTGTATTAAAATATTAATTAAACTGTTGCTTACCATTCATTTATACGGTAATAATCTGTTGTATAATCTTTGCTGAGGCTGTCACTCGTAAATGCACCAAGATCTTGTACATTGAAAGTATTTTTTGTGGATATTCTTTCCAAATGTATAGGATCATTAAAATCATCAGCTCTAAAGGTTCTTGGAGCAAATCTAGGCATAGTTTTATTGAAAAAGCCTCTATATGATGGAGAATATGACATATTTGGTGAAAAATATATAGCAGAAGCATTTATATATGGATTTGCAGAAACATCAGCAACTGTTGATAAGAAATAATACATCATGCCTGGATCATATGTATCATTGATAGCAGGACGTATAAATCGAGATTGTAGAATATAACTCCAAAAAAATGATCTACTAAGAGCCATATTGTGAAGATGTAGCAAAGCAGTTCTATTTGGAAATACAGGATTAATATTAATGTCTTTAATGTCAGGTAAATGAGAGACTGCATCTTCTGGTAGATAGAGATCTCCAACATGTTGAATAGGACAATTCTCATCATTAATCTTATCCATTTTTAAACGAATTTCATCAAAAGCATCTCTAATTTGCCATTCGTATTGCCCGACAACGCCCAAACAATAAAAACTTGCAATCACTATCACATATATTTTACAATTAATGAATTCCATTTTCTGTTAAATATTCTAGGTTTCTATATGTATAGCCAAGTATAGTGTTTCATTAAAACATACAAAATAGAAAAAGCATAAAAGAATGGAACGTAAATAAATTCTTTCACGTGCGCGTAACGTTCATTCACATTTCGTACGAAACTACATCAAGCCAAATATAAATATACTCGATTCACTGGTGAATCATATAGTCGTGCCACTACGTTTCATAGAAGTTACTACATAATGTTCGGGTTTGACGTCATCATTTCTATACCGAATTAAAGCTAACTTTCATTAAAAGTTAATATTTCGATGAAAATATTTTGCAAACGCTCAGACTATCATTACTTACAAGCTCTAAGTACGGAAAATCAATGTATATTAATCAATTCATCGAAGTATCGCAATTAATAAACTTATGTCTTAACATAAAATCATAAATATAAATAGTTGTTTATTAACACATTATAAGAACGATTTACATACATATAATATATCATATAATTGGTGTATTATATGATGTATATTCTTTCCTTTATCAGAAAAAAGCAAATTGTGAAAATTATCTTAACACAATTTTAGGAAAAAAGGAAATAAACAAAAATTAAAAGTAGTACATAAGAGATAAATTTTTTTTTGTTATGATAATTGGTATAGCATTTTGGTACAACGACCTCTCTAAGGGTTTGACTCTTTTAAGTATGTAGTAAGTACTCTGCTTGCTATGGCATTATCCCAATACAGGTTCACCCCTATTTATTTGAGATACGAAAAAAAAAGAATTTCTCATAGCTAAACAAGTATTTTGAAGAGACAACTTACTGGGGGTCCATCTCATCTTTAATGCGACTGTTCTGGTTCCTGAGAAAATTTCTGCAATATCTGCACGTAGTACGAAGTTTTTGATGTTAACGTGGGAAATAATTTTCTAAAGGATTATTGAACATTTTTCATACAATAATTTTTAGATTAAGTGTTTTTTACAAAAATAAATGTAAAACATACTCATAATGGCCATGAAAAATTAGTAACAATTTTAATTATAATTTACAATAATGATTTTATTAACAATTTATTTACATTTATATTTATTCTTTTTAGGAATATTAATTTAGGAATAATAAAGAATGTATATATTTCTTCTACTATTGACACTTTATTGTTTACTTATATATAACTACATATTTTTCAATCATTGTTCAGTTATGTTATTATGTTTTTATGCTATAATACTTTCAATGCGTTAAGTGTTTTTAAACCTTAAAAAGATGCATTTATTTATATAGATTTTCCTGCGTTAAAATTCCAACCTCCCACGACAATGGCCCTAGAATCGAGCAAAAAATGCATTGTCTGTGGAGAGTGCAGACAGCTAAGTAATGAGAGATACAAAAGAGAAGGTAGAAGACGGAAGGGGCAAGGACCAAAGCGTAAAAAGAAATATACATATTAAATAACGATAAACGAAGCACAATGTAGTAATATCCCATGGATTAACAAATATTGATTATAGTTACGAATAAACCAATTTTTGATGTACATGGATTTTGAACGAATAAAAATTAAGAAAACGGAAAAATTCTGAAGGAACAGGTTTCTCAGAGCTAACATACGAACACCATCTGTCTTTGTTACTTCTTCTCCTTTGAGGGACGCGGGTGCGTGCTCAACCAGACAGGCGGTTTACGGTTGAATTCAGGACCGTAACTCGTTGTCTGTAACGTCTTGTCTTCACAATATTCGTCGCGTTTGTGAAAATGTTTAATGAAATTATTAAATTTTCTTTTTATCACCGATAAGGCAGAGATTTAATAATTGTAGAATATTTTTGATATTAATTTTTTATATAACTATGAAAATGTAATACAAAATTTTCTACTTCTTATAGTCTTATTTTAAGTTATTGAAATAATGCGTGCACACACGAATAAGACTGGAAACATTATATTATTTTATTGCTCTTCGATAATATTATGTTGATTTTCTGCTAATATTTAAATTTGATGATAATATAAAATGAATGCATAATAAATGTATGTTTTATCGTCATACATATGTGATGATATATGTCTTAACTTTCAACTCAATTTTCATGCAAATCTGTAAGAAGTAGTCTGTATCAGATTTTAAAAATACAATTTCTTTGATTAACTTTATAATTTTATATTAAACTACATAGAAATCTTATTTATATATTCATTTATTTATTTATTTATGTGTATATTTTCCCTATTTATTTGTCTACATATCTATATATCTATATCTATATTTATTTATTTATTTATTTATTTATTCGTGTCTATGTTCACGTGTAAAATATGCATATAGTTTTATTTATAGAATAATTTATTCTTTACTCATTTATTTATTACTATGTTACAGATATACTATCTTATTCACATTGTATACATTTTTTCGTACTATCTACATATCTAACAGTTTACATATAAAACAGCCAAATATTTGTATATTTATAATTAATATTTTTATGTATTAATTAAAAATATTCGTAATAATTAAAATTAAAGAGTATAATTTTTAATGCATTTTTTTAACGTCTTTAACGTTCCGTAATCGACTATGTAACGATTATATTTTTAATTAAATACAGTTTGATATCATCATAAAGTTCCAATCCTGTTATAAATACAAGCTTATACACCAATATAGCTGTTTACTATAAATCACATTTCTTTGAACTGTTATATCACAGTTTTATTGTAAATAAATACAATGATACATAGAATTACGAAATTAATGCATTATTCACTAATTAATGATTTAGTGAATACTTAGATTACAAGAAATATGCTTCAAAGTAAATTATAGCAAAATATAGATATTTGGTAAGAAAAGAATGAAAAGAACAAATATATAAAAATTGGAAGGAATGGTACAGGAACAAAGAAGAATTGTGACGCGCCTGACTAAGGCGGGGCTCACATATACCGCGAAGAGTGGTAAGCGGTTGAATCGGATTGGATTGGGGCGCAACTAGCAAAGAAGCAAGCAAGCAAAGAAGCAAGCAAGCAAGCAAGCGAGGAAACTGGTTTGGTTTTGTAGGGCTTGCACCACTGCACCGCTCTTTTAGCGAGACAGTCCATTACGGCTATGTAGGCACTACATGATATCAAAACGCTGCGCCCGGGCTTACTTCACTTACCGTTACCATCACTGCAATATTATCGGAACATTGCAAGTGCCTACAAGACTAAATTCATTGCATTACAATTTATCCAATACAATCAAGTGTTAAATGTAATTTGTAATATACATCAGAATACACGGTTTCATATAACGTGAAAGTGAAGAAAAGTACATATAAGTCTATTTGTGTTAATATTGGTGGTATTTGTAACATGAATCTTCTATCAGTTAAAAGCTTGTGACAGTTTTGTGTGGTATCTGGTGTTTTGTTTTATAATTTGTTCAAAATTAATATTGTGAAGATTTCAAATTTTATACAGGTACATTACTTTTATATTGTATAGTTATATTTCGGAGGTTATGGCACTTGATCCTGATTTGCTTGGATTATTTTATCTTTTCTATTTTATTTAATTTATAAAATAATATACTTACATGTTTATGGACTATACTACTTTACATATATTTATATAAATCAAACTAAGCATTAGGGTTATATGTACTTTATATCATGTGATATTTCTACGTGAAATTTAATGTTAAACTTTTAAGATTGTTATTTTTACGTTCTATTTCGTATTTTAATTATTTCGCTATTCAAAAGAAATAATACAAGTAAATTATAAAGTAAATAAAAACAAAAGACTAAAAGTAATAACTTTATATATCATGTTCTAGGTTTTCCTTTGTAAAGTCATGGTAATAATCGTTTTATTAAGTGATTTATTAATTGAATAAGGACATAAATTATGTGATCTTTGATTCACAGAAAGTGAATTTCCACATTTCATTATTGAATAGACGTAAAAAAGAAATTGTTTAAATAATATCAAAGACATTAATATAATGCATATGTAATTATCATTAGTACTTTTGGAATATTTTATACATATATACATGCTATTTAGTAAAAATAATTTATAATAATTGGGAATAATTCATAGGTCATGTGTAATTAGTAATCCAAATTTGCATGAAAAAAGATCAACATACCATTGTGCATGTACATTTAAAATACAAAATTCGTTATTTTATGAGTACATATTGCTTGATCAACTTTTTCTTCTTAACCTTTTGCACAAACCAATCAGAATTCGCGAATATACTTCAAAGGAAAATGGCTAACTCGTGTCGCTGGGTTCGAGCGTATCTTTGCGCGTCGTTTTGTGAACCCCGTAGTCTGCAATCACGTTGACGTCTATCGCCATTTCCTCACAGGAGGATTTTATTCATTTAATTTCTAAGGTATATGCAATTATTCTTGATCCGAATATCGTGAATCATTTTTATCAGTGTGTCTTCTTAATAATACGTTAACAAACACGAACAGAAATTCGTTAGCTAGAACAGCAGATGTGATGTTATCGTGAGTGTAAAAGTGCATTGCATCCTTCAAGAAGTATGGATGCATCTCTATTGCCGGCCGGCAAGATGTACGCAAAAAATTGCAATTACATTTCTTTTGAAGCATAATTTCCATGTTGTGTACTTAAATACATTATTTTAAAACTATAAGTTACAGTAATTAATTTTTTGTATTTCCAAATGTGTTGTTCAGTAATGGAGGCTTCTTTATTGTATATTTTAAATAATGGAGTAGGTATAAGATGTCACCGATGATAAATTGATATATTCATAAAAATTTTGTAACTATTTTTGTTTAACAATAATAAGTATTTTAAAGTTTTAATAAATTGAGGATTCGCAAACGCGGGAAATTGTCTAGGTTGCGTTATATGTTACTTGAAGTATAGCTTGAGTTGTAATCACATTCATAGCTTTTTCTATTATATGTATTTGTGTATTTTATTTTCGTCCATAAGTGTTTCAAGACTTTTTAATTTGATTTTTAGTTATTTATATATATTTTTTCATAAATATTTTGTTTTACTTTTCCTTATACACTTTGTTCATAATCTTACATGTAACTTATATTTTTATTTGAAAAGATTATTTGAGTATTAAATATTAAAAATTTTCAATATGAATTTTTAAAAGCAATATTACACAATTATGAAAAATTACAAATGATATTACAAATATTATTAGAAAAAAGATAAAAGCATTGTTATTTTCTATGTAAAATAAAATGATAAAAGGTTTTAAAATTTTTCAATTATTAAGTTTCTTTTAGTTACTTAATTAGAAGTTGTTGATAATGTTTGTAATTAGTTAACAAATATTAAAATTTATTTTAAAAATTGTATACATGTTATACTAAATAATATTTTTAGATGGTATAAGATATAATTTAGGATTTCTAGTCTTTTATATTTATAGAATATTTTAATTTTATATTTTTATGTTAAAATGAAGGGACAGATCCATAATATAATAAATATGAATGATATAATGCGTACATTAATGTAATAATTTATTTGATTTTTCCATACATTGATCTACAATTTATTACTAAGACAAATAGTTTTTGTTAATTTATTATTAAATTTCATAGTTATTTGGTGATAAATACCAATTAAAAATGTTAAAAGTTTTATTCTTTGTAGTTACTTTAAAATAATAAATAAACAGGATAAATTTTACATTAAATAAAGTAAACTAAGTCAAATTTTTGTTCTGGGAATTAAAATAATTTGTTTCAGCTATGGCAGAAGGAAATGGGGAAATAAAAATGGAAGAGAAACAGTCTAAGGAGGAAATGGAATATGTAGAAAGAACAGAAGATTTTTCAAAGTTGATTCAGTATGGATTGGATGAAAAAGTAGCCGCAAAACTGGATGAAATATATAAAACAGGAAAATTAGCTCATGTAGATTTGGATGAAAGAGCATTAGATGCTTTAAAAGAATTCCCTGTGGATGGGGCATTAAATGTACTCACACAGTTTCTTGAATCTAATTTAGAACACGTATCGAACAAATCTGCATATCTTTGTGGTGTAATGAAAACCTATAGACAGAAAAGCCGTGCTGGGCAAGGCACTGGTACTAGCACTACTCCAAAAGCACCAGATGAGGACAAGATAAAAGTACACATTAATTTTTAATAAGTTTATTATTTATTATAACTATTTACATATATAATTTGTTTCATAGAACTTATATAAAATTAATAACAATATTTTAGATGATTCTTGAACGCACTGGTTATCCTTTGGATGTAACAACTGGACAAAGAAAATATGGAGGTCCTCCTCCAAATTGGGAGGGTCCTACACCAGGAACTGGTTGTGAGGTAAATCAATAAGTTATTTTTCTTTTTACTAAATTTGATTGTAATTCTATTTATTATTTTTATTTGTTAAATTGAATGTTACTGTTTTAACTTTTTTATGTAGTTTTACCTTATAAAATGTAAAAGGAATGTTTTTGTTTTAATAAAAGGTATTTTGTGGAAAAATTCCAAAGGATATGTATGAAGATGAATTAATTCCTCTGTTTGAGAAATGTGGAAAAATTTGGGATTTGAGATTAATGATGGATCCTATGGCAGGTTGCAACAGAGGATATGCTTTTATCACTTTTACTAATAGGGAAGCAGCACAGGAAGCTGTTAGAGTGGTATGTAGATATTCTTTGAATTTTTTTTATTATTATGTAGATATATGTTTGTGAAGCGTACAAATTCTGTTATCCTAGTTTACAATATCTTTTTATGAATATATCAATTCCCTTCACTTTCGTTTAGAAAAAATTTAGAAATGTTACAAAATTGTTATTGCTACCAAAATAAACAAAATTTCGAAATGTTTAAATGTTATTACATATATTCTATTTCTTTGTTTCCTTTTTGTTTTTATAATATGTTTTACTTGACTTTTTAGTTCTTGTCTTACAGTTTGTCTTAAAATAAAAATGATAATCGATTGGTCGAAATTTCGAAATTCCATTGAAGTTCATCGAATCGAAAATAGTATTTTTCTCTTTTTCTTCTTTTTCTTTTTGTATTAAACATTTCGAATACATTTTTTTTTTCTTTTTTTTTCATATTCCCATGTGGCTTGTTCTATGTTGTGACTTGCGTTTTCTCTTTCTTCCTTTACTTCTTTTTTTTTTTTATGGTAGTTTTAACGCAAATGTTTTAGCATTGTTTCATTAATGGTTAAAAGTAACAAAATTTGAGATTCAATGTCTTTAGTTAGGAACAATCCACATATTTGTTTCATACATATACATATATGTCCCTGACCACTAATTTATATTTAAGTATATAATTATGCCCAACACATCCCAAATACTTAATAACAATAAAATAAAGTTGAAAAATAATTACACATATGCATAAAATTATAGGCACACATGCGCGCGCGCACATACATATAAAGATACATTAACTCGTATGTACATATGTATACATATACGAATACATCTCGGTATACACGCGTAAGCGCGCGCGCACATACGCGCATCAATATATGTGTACGTACGTATGTATATATATATATACATGCATACGTTAATGTCCTATGGATGAGTTTCTTTTTCCAGCTCTCCTCTTTGCTCAGTGGGCAAAATTGGGAGTGGAGAATTTTTATAAACATTGAAGATGTGAATAGAAAATTAGCGTGGTTTAATTGGTTAGGGGTACTTTTACCTAATTGGTTGACTTCCGTTGGACAGTGACAATTTTTGTAACAAAATTTTGAAATTGGTAGGTTTGAAATCTGTTTACAGGAGCACATACGTGAACGCCGGTTTCCTATATTGTGAAGACTCGAGCGACAAAGCGCATGCCACTTTCTCGCTTTCATGGAACCAGGCCATGTTAATTATTTCACTAAATTGCATTTTTGAAAAAAAATTTCCTAAATTCTTTTGTTTATCGCAATTAGATAAAACATAAAATGTATATCATTGGAACAATATTAGGCATGTGTTTCTTTTCTTCATCCCACAGCTCGATAATCACGAAATAAAACCCGGCAAGATTCTGAAAGTAAAGATTAGCGTTCCTAATCTACGACTTTTTGTGGGGAACATACCAAAGTCAAAAGGCAAAGAGGAGATCTTGGAGGAATTTGGTAAATTAACAGGTAAAGTGAATTCGAGGCGTGTGTACCTACCTATCTACCTATACCTACCTGTCTACTTGTATTGTAACTTACGAGTGGTAGCTTTTAAGTAGTGGTTGTAGATGGTATGGATTATGGAGCCTAAAGAAACAAAACAAGAACAGTATATATATATCGTATCGTATGATATGATATCACATCATATATATCATATATCACATGTCACATATCACATAATATATATCACGTATCACATCATATATCATATATTGTATATCATATATCGTATACCATATCGTATCACATATCATATCATATATTATTATATCGTATTATATATAATATCGTATCATATATCATATCATATTATTATGTCCTATTATATATAATATCGTATTATATGTCATGTCATATCATATTATATTATATATCATATCATATATCATATATATCATATCATATAATATCATATATCATATCATATCATATTATATATCATATCATATCATATCATTTCATATCGTATCATTTCATATCGTATATCATATCATATTATGTTTTATATCATATATATATATATATATATATATATCGCGTGCGTGCGTGCGTGCGTGTATAAATGTGCCTATGCGCTCGCGTTAACACACATATAAATAATCACGGCAATATACCACAGAGGCACGCACGCAAACATACGTAGTCACGACAGTAATACCACACTCGCAGGTACGAACCAACATGCACTCGCACAGGACACGCAGAATCTTCCAGCGGTTAAACCATCACGATTTAATCTTGATGAACCATCATACTAATACCTATCGTGTATCTTTTTCAATTTTATCAACTGATCTGTGTGCGTGTATGCGTGCGCACGTGTGTGCGCGCGCTTGCGTATGTGTAGATGGGTGGATGCACGCGGCTTGTGCGTTTTTTGGATGTATGACATGACATGACATGGTATAATATGATATATGATATGATATGATATATGATATGTTATGACATGACATGACATGACATGACATGACATGATGTGATATGGTATGGTATGACATTATATGGTCGTGCGTATAACCATACATTCTGCGGATGCCTTATAACGCCTTCAGTTTTGGTCCTTGCCTTTCGGTTTATTAGTGAAGAGTAATATCTCTCTGGTCCAAGTCTTCTTTTCCACGCATATTTAGGTTGAGCTATGAGTTATACGCTTCCGTCTTCTCCTATCCATCGTTTTTCCTTTCTGTTTCCCTACCCAGCTTTTCTTTTTTCTCTTCCAGCTTTTCTGTTTATTTAGCTTTCATACCTGTCATTGTGGATATTGTTTTCGATGCTAGAACTACTTTAATTATC